ACTGATCTACATAATATTAAAATGCTGACAGATGTACATATAACTCATTACCTTTGATTCTATACCACCACTCAATACAAAAATGTTAGAGCTAGTATCGCAATCTGGAGAAGTGCATATGTCTCACCTGTCCTAACAGCATTGCGAGCCTGATTGACCGTCATCTGTGATGTCACATGCATCAGCACTTTGGGGTGCTGACCAGGAGGCACATGAGCAGCTGTCACTACGACAGCCGGGAGTGGGCTAGAAGGAGCAGGACCTGTACAAACGGACAGGGGCTTATTGGGATCTATGCCGCCCAGGCCAGCTCCAAGATGGGCAGAGGAGGGGCTAACGATGGTGATGCTGCGCCCAGCCTGAGAGCACAATGTTAGGGGCACTTTGGGCTGCTGACTGCTGCTCGCTGCCGTCCTAGAAAATAACAATAAGTAAACATATTTGAAATAACAACACTTAAAGCAACAAATATTTGAGAGAGAGACTAGCTTGCTGAATACACATTTAATAAATAGGGTGTGTTTGTGGCCTTAAATAAAGGAATGGCCTTGTTCCTAACGATGCATATTGTGCACTAGAAGCATGTAGGACCAATACAACAACTCAAAAGATGCATGAGTGTGAATTTACTTTGTGTGTTAAATGTGGGGTGTGTGTTTGTGGGTGGCTGGAAACACTTGTCCTTCCTTGGACATGTGTGGATGCATGTGTGTGCTGTACCTGCTGACAGGACTCATGTAGTTGCCAGGAAACACTCCGATCTTGCCGGTGTGCATAGACGTTCCTTTAAACCAGCCATCCTGACAGCGCTCCAGCACCAGGAACATCTCGCCTTTCCTTAGCTCCAGCTCATCCTCCTTACGAGGTGTGTATGGGAACATCGCTACATACCTGAGAGGCAAGAGAAAAAAAAGATAACATTTTTTAACATTACTGTAAGAACTTAAAAAGCCTGAAAAGTGAAACATAATGCTACATCTAGTAGGAAACTAAATATTTTACGTTTCAAAACACAGTACTAGGGATGCACAATCAGAAGCAACAAATTTTCATGTTTCAAACATTATAAAAGTACAAGGTTGAACGCTCTAAAAAACTTAAAATGGAGACATTAACATACAGGATGATTCAAAAAGATTCATCTGATTTCAAAGCATCTTATTTTTACAACCATGAAGCACCTAGGAACCAATCACATTCCAATTAAAAGAGGGGGTCATTCTGGGGTGTAACATTTTGTTTAAGTCAGGTTATTTAAATAGGAAACTGATTTTTCATTAAGAATTTAAAATACCAGTTTGGCCAATTAAAAAACAAATAATGCTATTTGAATAGCAACTTTGGCTAATTTTAAGTACTGAACATGTGCTAGTGTGTTTTTTGTGTTTATTTAGCTTGCACAGCATTACAAAAACAAAAACGCTAATAAAAATCGGCCAAAATCATCCACTGGCCAATACAGCTGTAAAGAAACTGTAAACGCACATAATTCATGATTGATACATCCCTATGTAGTCACCCTTTCATTATATGCTTGCAAAGTGACAACAAAAGTGACAGTGAAAGTCAGTTGTGGGGACATTTATGTTACAAATACATGCTCTTGTTTTAAAAACACACTCAGTCACACACACAGTGACAGGCATAAAGGTGTGTCTAATAATAACCATGTGTTTGGTCTAGTGAGAGTTTTGATGGGGAAAGAAGTAAAAGGTCAGGGGTTAGGCTCAGGGCCAGACTTGGTGCAAAAACTCCAGAGACAGCAGCATCTCCCTTCACGGTCTGACCTCTAACCTGTACTCGGTCATGCTCAGCTGCCATTTAGTAACAGCAGAGAGGTCAGCCAGAGGAGAACTCACAGACACACACTGAACAGAAATATGCACAATCATGCATTCAGCAGTGAACATAACCACACATTCACAGCCATTTGCTCTCTGCACCATTATTACACTCACACTGTCGGTCTCTGCCGGCTGCTCTGGTCACTTGCTGTGGGGGAAGGCCTTTGACCAGCAGCCAATGAGGAGGCAGCGCCTACAGCAGAGGACTGTGGAGGAGGAGGTGGAGGAGGAGGAAGAGCATCCTGAAAAACAACCAAAAAATGAATAAATAAAATAAGTAAAAACAGAAATGTTTATTTCCCAAGATAGATCACTTAGATCTAATAAAGTAACAGTTCTCAGAAAAATGCACTCAGTGACTCAGCCCTACAAGACAGACAGAAAATAAAAAAATATTATTCAATGAAATATCATGAAACTCAGATTCCTTCCAGACACTTTTTAAAAAAAAACAACTGCTTTAAAACCAGAAATACACAAGCCAGAAATGATGAAATTGTGTTGCATATCCACATGGTAAAGAAGGAGTGGTCTCAGCCTATACTGTCAATCCAACAAATTATCAACATGTTATTTAGTTAGGGTTTTTTGTTCTCTCTCTGGTTAAAACTTGCTGTTTATACTCTTTTTTTCCCCTAGTACACTGTGCTCATATATCTACTTTCTTTAACATAGTTGCCATCGGCATTACTGATTTTGAAAATAACGCATCTTGTTCTGGCACTACGGCAAATTAAAACTTGCTGATAAGCATGCATGTCCTTTGTAAGAATTACCTTAAATTAAAACAAATATAAACATACGGGTGTCCTGTAGCTTCAAACATGTAATTCAGGGTTTAAATGGTGAAAAATCAATGTTTCATATTGGTAACATATTGAATGCCTGCTTGCTAAACTAATATTAGGTTAGCAGACTACAGATCCAAACACCACGGAACAGGTTTCATTTCATCTATTCGTCCCCTCTAATACCAGGTCACTCAACTTCACCCCCTCAAAGGTTAGTCATTTCATTCATTTTCATTTTTGAGTCTTCTAACTTGTTTCAGTGGTGCTTCAGTTAGCCAAAACAAACCTGTTCTGTTTAAAACAGAGCTGTTATCTTACTACCTAAGCTAATGCTAACTAATCCCCTCTCTCCTAGTTAGTAGCCGTGCTTAACAATTACCAGTTGTTGCTAGATACAGTCGTACGCAAACGTTTGAGTAACCTTGGGGAATTTACGTTTTGTTGACGTGAAAATATATAACACATAAGACATCCTCTGCAAGGAATAAACTTAAATATGGCATTATTCTGTACATCTTAATCAGCAAATCTGTAAAACATATGGGAAAAAACAGAATATAAAAAATCCCAATTTGTTAAATTCACCAACATTATTGGTGCATTAAAATGCTGTTCTTATTTACATGGTGACCATGTAAGCGAACTGAACTTTTTATCTGATTGTTTTTGATCTTAAAACGCAGGATGAGATGATGCGTTTGCATTGCTTGCATTACTTTTATGCATTTTTAAGCGTCGGTGTTATCATATACAGCAGTAATATTTGGAGATGGTTTGAAGGTGTGACATAAGTGAATACCACTCAACCCTACCAAAGATCTACTATTTTCTTGCAAATAATAAATCTAAGTCTTTCAATATGGTTATAGGTATGCAAATGATCATGTATGCACATACAAACACACATTCAATTTATTTTAAAGCTACTATCACTGAGACAGTGCACCTAAAAACAAAGACAAATTCAACAAAAACAACCAACATACAACACCCACATGCTTTTGCAGACACAGGCATCATTGAGAGACACTAGGGTGTACCCTGAGGCCACCGAAGCAGTCATTTCCACTAGGAACTGAAAAGGGAAGGGAGGGCTTACTATCAGATGGCACTCTTCTGCCCCCACATTACTGCCCTCTTCCCATTTCAGCTGCTGTGTGTGTGTGTGTGTGTGTGTGTGTGTGTGTGTGTGCGCGCATTTCAGTTCACTGCTGGCGCTTGAGCAGAGATGATTAGTTTGCCCACAGGCAAGAGAAATCATTTGAGCAAAACATCATGTAGAACTCCCCCCTGAACTACAGAGCCCAAGGTTTTGTGATCATACATACAAAATTCACATTCAGATAAGGCTGCCGAAGGTCCAGCAGAAACAGTTTGGAACCAGGGGAGAAAATGAATAAGGCAGAATTTTAATCAGCATTACAGGCTTTGGTTTCTCTAATTTGACAGATTTTTTCTCAAATTATACAGAAACACATAAAGGCCCTTATTTATTAAATGTCAGTTTTTTTGTTTTTTTTTAAGATCAGGCTTACGCCATGAATGCAACGGTATGCACTAGGATGCTGAAGGCAAAATCCAATCATACATAGAGGTCTACTCCTCAAACTGAGCCCAACGGGGCCCTACACATTATCAAAATTTGTACCAACTTTTCAGGGAAGGGATATGCCAACATTAATTTAGCACATTTCATTTATTGTGTGCTCTCTCTCTATTGTAACATCATAGTATATATATCTGCATTTTGAATAGTTCTGAATTTTTACAAGTCCATAAAGTAACAAAACTATGGTTAACGCAAGGGATGTTTTGGGTTGAAGAAAAGTTCAGAGTGGATTTTTTTACCTTACTTGTTAAGCTTGCCTGAAGCATGTTCATCATTTCTGCAGTAGCAGGAGGAACTTCTGCACTGGCTTCAATTTCATGCTCATACATACCTCTCATCCTACATTAGCAAATGTGCTCAGCAAACTGAAAAATGTAAGTCAGTTAAACCACGTTTAACTAACAGTTGATCAGATGAGGGCAGATGCTATTCTCTGCCATGTATGATTATATGATATGTATGATCATTTGCATATTACAGAGGTGTAAAGTACCAGTTTACACCAGCATGCCACTTTCTGTCGAACTCAAGCACTTACTATCAAAGCGAAACACTTTCAACACAATTTTAGCAGTACCAGTCAGACCTGGTAGTGTCGAAGGGTTGGGAAATATGACTATTTTATCTTTCGCATGATGCATGATGTTCTCATGATAAACACCAAGTATTTCTGATTTCTGGGTATCGCTAATATTGTCAGTACATAAAGAACACAGATCAATTTGTGAACGAATTTAGTGCAGTATGTGAAATGCTGAATAAAAACTACTGTATTCAGAGTTTTGGACAGCAGTTTTTAAATGTGGCACTATCTGCACATTTTGCCTGTGTATCAGAATATTGCGAAACATACTGTATCATGAAAATGTCTTTAAATACTGCGACACACTATTTTGGGTCGGGTCGGGTCTAAAAATTGCGGGTAAGAGATGCGTTCAGGCTTCAACTTCATGAGTGTGCAGACCTCTCATCCTACATCAGCAACCTTGCTTAGCGCACTAAAAAATAGAAGCCAGTTAAACCAAGTTAAATGCCTTAATTAGACTGACCACTGGGATTGAGGCATAGCTCGTCTCTGGGGGAAAGGTGAAGACTGTCGCCGTAGTTACAGGGCTGCTTGGTGGGGGAGTGACGATGAGCCCTGTTGTGCAAATGTGAACCTATCAAAATGAGAGACAAGATACACATTAATTACAATTAACCAATCAAGACACACAAGGCATAACAAAGAAGACAATCAGCCAAATTTAATATATACAGCACTGTGTTCTTAAAAAAGCCTGGGCTATAATACAAACTCCTACTAAACTAAGAAAAGAAGACTATAAAAATAAGACACGCTTGGACCCAAGCCCTGTTATGAAAAACAGAATTCAATCTAAAGAGACATATCTGTCTTCACTCATTTTTGCCAGCACATCAGTTTGGCAATGTGTACAACACGCACACACACACACACACACACACACACACCACACACACACAGATGTATATATATATTTTTTTTCCCCCTGAGTGAAAACAATCCACCTCACCAAATCAACATGACCAACAGAGGTGACCTGAAAATGTCACAACCAATGAGAACATATCTTTTGCAGCACTGAAGCCACATGACGTTCTAACGCCTGCCCCACTGGAGCTGCTGGAGAGGCCTAGTGAAGCTAATTATGGTCTGTCTACAGGAAGCTACGTAAAGGTGGGCTCACATGAGGTGAACCACGTTAATGCAGCCAGAACAAGACAACACAGAAATTAAATCTTCACTTCCGCACACAGATGCTTCAAGACATTATCATCAGAACAGCATCACACTACCTCATTTGGAGCAAAGCAGAAATAGCAATTACCAATGATAATGAAGGGTCTTATTTATAATCTAATAAAATCTTTGAAAGCTGCATCTTAAAAATTCTCATCCACTACGCCAGCAATGCTAAGAGGAGGTGAACTTCCACAGTAGATACGAACAGTAATGATAAAATGTTTAGAAGTCCTTAAAACATTAAAAGACCTAAAGAAAATAATACAGATGAAAAAAGGAAGTTCTCACACAATAAGAAGAGGAGGTTTCACTTTGAGTCTCACTTGGAATGTATAGTAAGTTTTAATGTGATTTCTCAGGAGCCCAAAAATAGCCATCATCAGGGACAAGAATTATAATTCTGCAGAAATGATAACATCCGCCATTCCCTTTCAAGTTTGATTCAATTTCCTCTTCTCTCTCTTGCAGAGCAGAGGAAATCATTTTAGAGTGATTCTGCATATTGCATGGCTGCTCAAAGGACATATCGATCATGCATGTCTTCATCCTCCTTATTCATCTGCTTCCAGTCCAAAATTAGCCCTGATCCTCCAAATGAGTGACCTAAATGTACATCTGCTTGCTAGCATATAGCAGAGCCAGAACTGCTAAAGTCATTATGTGTAATGAATTGTGCATGACTAAGACTAGGCAGTGTTACAGCTGCCACAGCAAACACTAACTCAGCGGAAATGGATGCTGATGCATGTCCAAGATCGCATGCATATACAAGCGTTTTTATGTTTGCTAAGGAACAAGTAGTGCAGAGAGATCTGAGCATGTTTGTGTGACCTCAACACTCAGACTGCGTTTATGTATGTACGTTTGAGAGACTTGGCAAAGCTCAGTGACTCAGACTCACTCAAGGTGAATCATAAGGAATCCTGCTCCATCAGATTTGATCAGAATACAGGTGTATTCTTTTTCAGGTGTATTTACCACAGGTGTGTGTGTGTGTATATGTCTAATTATGGACAACAATGGTAATGCATGGACATGACACGTGTTATTCTTCGAAACAGCTACACCTGACGAAAGTAAAGACAGAATCAAAGCAGTAATATTAACAGTGTTGAGGTAGTTAATCAAAAAAACTATCCTTTACAAATTACTAATTACTTCTCACACTGTAACAGGATTACTTTGCTTATTATTACGTCCAGAAAAGTTACTAATTACTTCTGTGTTACTCTCTAAATCCCAGACAAATCTGTAGCAGCTGTACACAGGAAAATTCAGGATTTTGCTTAGAAATAGCCAGTCACAATGTATATTATTTAAAAGTCCTGTCACAATTCCTGCTTTTGAACAAAACATGGCCAAAGAGGCTTGATTAAATTCATGAACAGCTGATGTTATCTGAAAATCGATCAGCTGTCAGCATGCGCAAACACAAATACCCTGTATAAAGGAAATTTATGATTTAAATGCTCCAAGTGTAATTAATATTGTCTTCTTAAAGACATGAGTAATGCATGTAGCAGAAGGTGAAACTGAGTGGGCTTCTTCCCATTTCAGAAAAAAGAAGGGACAACAGAGTGTACCGTTGCCTCATTCAGAAGCTAAAACTTTCTAAACGTTTTCGCGTATAGTTCAGATGTCTGTAACCCACTCTGAACTGCTTTCTGGAGATGTTAGTGCCTCACATAACAAAGCAGAAGAATCCTTCTTAAGTTTCTCAAAAAGTTCTAGTTGCTGGGACACAGCCGATCAGTCATCCTGGTTCTCAGCATGAAAATAAGACAACAGTGTTTGCTTAAGTGAGTTTAGGTCACCTATGAAAGTCTGAAAACATCAAACAGAGGATGAATAAAATAATGTTGCATTTTCACATATTCACTGCAATTTCTGAAATATTGCATTTGGTTGGCAAGATATCATCAGTTATACACATGTTGATGCCCGAAGGAATCGCACAAATCATGCTTAGTGTGTAAAACCTTAACTTTGCCTAAAAGCAATTTCCAGAAAATTATGAACTGTGAAAAGACCACAAAAACTATCAAAAGCATTAGACAGTCACTGCGTCACTCTGCTTCTCTCCCTCCCCCTATTCCCCTGTCCCTTTCTGTCATCTCACATCTCTGCTTCCTCTAGAACCAGCCCGTTCTGTTCCCTTATCTCTCCCTCCAGCTTTCCCCAAACTTTCTCCTTCTATCCTCTTTTATCTTCCTCCTTCACTCCCTCCTACCACTGTCACAGTATTTCACTCGTGCTACAGGGGAATAGAAAGAACAAGGACTTACATAGTCTACACAATGACAGCACCTAGGGAAGGTTTGGTGATTTTGTGCCACATTTAATAAGCTATATGATGTAATTCTGTAACCTGAACTTGGAAAGCATAACAGGGGACTCGCTGGGAGAACTGTGGAGTGGTTATGTTACAGGCATGAACAGGCTTTCGTGGTACTGTGGTATTTGGAATGTGTGTTTAATAATTAGCACTGAAACGACCCGACAGGAATGTTAAAATGACTTGATTATACCCCTTCGGATGATAGGAAGAGGGAGGGGGGGGGGAGAGAGAGAGAGAGAGAGAGAGAGAAGAGAGAGAGGAAGAGAAAGAGAGAGAGAGAGAGAGAGAGAGAGAGAGAAAGAGAGAGAGGAAGAGAGAGAGAAAGAGAGGGAGAGATTGCGTGACTGTAAGCACCTACTACTTTACAGCTACTTTTTTCAGGAACAAAAAGAGAGGTGGGTCATTGTGTGAAGTGTGCGCAAGTCGTGCTGTGCTGCAGCCGCTCCGGGCTTGATTTCAGGGGGTTCGTGGCTGGCACCAGCCGGCAGACTACAGCCGTCTGTCAGACGACATAAAGCAGTAACACTGATAAAATTGAATTAATTACAGTGGAGCGCTGGGAATGAGTAGGCTGTCAGCAAAAGAAAAAAAAAGCATATAGAGTGGAGGGGGTAGAGAGAGGGGGAAAAAAATGGGGGATGGCAGGATGTGAGATAGAGAGGGGAAAAAAAAGCAAGAGAGGAATAAAAAGCGGGATAAAAACAGACAGACAGAGCGAGAAAGAGAGAGAGATCAGAGCAGAGTGCCTCAGGGTAGCGAGTCATGCTCGGAGATTCGTGCTCTGGCAGAATGTTTACTGCGGCATCGTGAAAAGACAAATAACAAACAAAAACAGTGTTCAGGGAACTAAAAAAAGGAGTCTAATTATAGCTAGCTACAGCCACAAAACACAAACAGGCCAGCTTTATACAATGGAAATGGAGCTGCTGTGTCATCTATTAACATACTGAGCTCTTAAAACACAGATAAAAAACATTTTATAGCTTTCGCTGTGAAACTGCTCTCAACGTGCTAATAAAACACTGTGCGCATAGACTTACAGCACTGTGCAGAAGTCAGAGAGCAGCCGTTGTTTCTTGAACTCTCAATCAAAATGACCATTAAGCTATTGATTTTTTCAGAAAATACTTGTGAGGGGGTTAGAGATACGATAAGCTGCTGAACGAGGAAGAGGGAAGTCAAAAGAAAATAAGTGAAAAAACAGTTTTCAAAACTGGAGTCCAAAAAATTACTCAAAAATATAGAGAGAATGGCACTCCTAACCATGCAAGACCACCAAAGCTGCCACCATCAGATAAACTCCACATAAAATTTTCATCTTTAATAGAGAGGAGAAAATCAATCTCCACTCTTCCTTCAGATCAAAAAAAAATCCACAGGTGCTTCTGTCCATCCTTACACTGTGACAACTCAGTATTATGGGTTTGAAAAGATGTTTAGCTGTCAAGAAACACTTACTGAGAACTGGAAACAGACAAAAAAGGATAAAAAAAACCAAGAAGCTGCTGGTGTTCTTAAAATAACGCACTGAGTCCAGACCGCAACATCATAGTATGGGTTTTGTGATTACTTGGATCGTGAAGACAGAAGAAAATACTCTTGCAGATTTATCTGAAAAATTGAAAGCATGTGTCTTGAAAAGAATGGAAACTATAATGAAGGAAAAAGTGGATAAACTAAAAAATATATATATATTTAGTTGTTGAGGCTTCTGTGGAATTTTGTGAAAATATTAGTGTTAAATATGTTTCCTGCTTTTTCCCCCTCAGAAAGATTAATAACTTGATGGCCAATTTGACAAGAAACAAAATAGAGAAGGGTTGTCTATGACTTGTACACAGCACTGTAAATACATACAGGGACCCAATCTTACATGTCTTTAAAGAGCTTTTAACTGTCTTGGCGACCTATGAGAGATACTCTTAAATCTACAACTTAAAACACACCCACAGCCCGAAGACTTCCATTTGGTAATTTTAACTGTTTAAGCGAAAACAAGATCTCTGTAGGATCAGATTTCACTTTGTGGACATTGTTGGTCCTTACAAAAGGAGTAAAACAGTACACACTCTTCCTCATTCCACTACCAGACAAGCAAACTCCTGAGGCATGAAAAAAAGCTGACAAGTTCAAAAGCCCCTGCACCAGAAAAGTGTCTTTAGTCATCATCCCCCAAGTGAAAATGATGTTTACTAGGAACATTTAGTATTGTTATCATCTGATGAAAACCATGGTAAACAGCTTCAAATTGCTGAGAAGGCAACGTAGATGTTCTCTTCAGAAATAAAACACCAAATGGATCTAAATGGATTGGCTTTAGGGGAGAGGGACTCTCCCTAAGAATTCTCCTTGTCAAATTAAAAACTCTTCAAAAAACTTCAAATGTTTAAATTGTGGATTTTCAGGTCTGCCAACACAACTACCAACAAATGTCAGTCAGAAACTCTCAACTCCATTTCAGTAGAGGTGACCTGTTCTTGTTTTCTACCATCTCCTTTTATCAGTACTGAGCGGAAAAGCGTCAGCCTTCTAGAAGCTTCCTATAGCAAGATTAGAGGTTGTGACACAAACTGACTTCCACTGCATGTCAAGTTTGCTTCCTGATTTCCACGTCACCAGGCAAGCAGTGGAACAGCTGTGAGAGGCTGTCATTCTGTGGTTGGTGTGGTAACCTCTGGGAGAGGTTTTGGGGGGTGAGGGGGTGCTGTTACGCATCCCTGATTTCTCTCTCTCTCACACACACACACGCACACACACAGTCAGCCTGCTGGACTGTGTGGAATGAGGGAGTAAGAGACGTGTGCAACTGGGGGGCCTGGAGGGGGGGCTTAATTGCAGACGAAAAAAAAGACAGCCAGAACAGACACCAGCATGGTTAAGCACTCTCTCCCCATCACTCACGATTCTTATCGGCTACAGTCACATTTTCCTCAGTCTAATCCCTTCTTACGTTTTGTGTGCGGAGCACTTGGAGAGTTTTTCAATGCAATATTCTTTCAAGTTCATACAGTAAATTATGATAAAAAAAACAAGCGTTGTGGAAGCAGGTTTACTTCAAATTCTATACCTTATTGCCCTTTTAATGACCACACTGTGATGGCTAATGGATATGGTCACATTGTTTAAGACTTCTTACCATTTTTGATTATGTTGAGATGACTTTTGAACATTTTCAGGTTTATCTGCATCAACAGTGGCAGCACTGTAGTGTAGTTATAGTTGTCATTAGTTTCTTGTCCTAGACTTAGGAGTAATTTCCAGAGGGGGCAGAGGAGTTACAACTACAATAATAATTGTGAATAAAAGCACTGGATGTGCAGTGGCCTAGATGATTGTGTAGACTTTTGACTAAACATATCACTCCATCAAAAGCTGAGACTTGATAGCTTTAAATTATTTTTTTTTAAACGCATAAGGCAGAGTGTGAAAATATATCCAGGTTGAAAGGGCAATAAGTGGGGCAAGGATGCTTAGAAACAGACTGTAGGTCTTTTTCATTAATGGTAATTTCATTTCTATTATGTGGTGTTCATATATGGATAATTCAATAACTTGATATAATAACTTGAGACACATTTTTTTTTTTGAAGTAAAACATCCTGAACTTGTATGCAGTTCTATTTTTAGATAAAAACATCTAAAAATCTTCTGAAGTTTTGTCACTAAAAAAACCAGCAGAAATTATTGAAAATGAATGGACTTGTTTAACGAGAGTTAATATAGCCAACCATCATTAGAAAAGTGAGTTTATATCTTTATATTACTGCATACTTCCAAAGGCTATATACAGCTACTTCAGTGTCTTTCCCATGGCTGCATGCCCCCAGACCCCAAAGCAGGTAATGTTCAACCCCTCCAATGTTTAACCCAAAGTTACACCATTGGTCATACAATGCATGTGCTCTTGTAGATGCATGTTAAAAGCAAGTATCAACTATTATTTGATTAATCTACTAATCTAGGGCAGTGACAACATCAGCTGGATTGAAAATGATCTGTTCTAATTTCGTAAACAGAAAAACAACATTGGCAAAGGGGCTGAGTTGTATTGTTTAAACTGAGTTGTATGGTTTAAACTGCAAGGCTAAACTACACTGTTCTGTTACTCTGGCTAAATTTTGAGAACATTAGTTTTTCCTCCATGATTTTGGCTTCCTGTCTCGACAAAAACGGCCCTTTAGGTCACTGCAAACTGAGCTTTTGGAAAACATTCTCCAGAGTGGGAAATTTTAAAACTGTGGATGGGTAAAAAGTAACTTATCTTCTTCAGGACGCACATGTTTAACCTGACTGACAACCAGCCCATCATTTATTTATCCTTGCTTTAAAAAATAATTTACTACTTTGTTCTTGCACCTATCACACTAACTAAAATAGTGTTTTCAACAGCAATACAGAAGATTTGTTTTTATATTGTTGTTAAAAGTTCTTTTTGTTTTGTTGCACTGATGCCGAAGCAGGCATGTCATGTGTGAAAGTTTGTAAATACTGAAAAGAAGGAGATTTCCCCCCCCAGTCGATGCCATTAAGGCCCTACAGATAACTCCAGAGCGTTGTATGCGCCACCTACATTGGAAAGACTAAACCACATAAGTCATCCAGTCATTTCCATTCTATCCCCTCTGCTCCTCCATCTCTCACCTGGGAGGGGGCGCTGGAGGACAGTCCTCCGCTGAGCTCTCCGATGCGGGCTGCTGCCGTGGGGTTGGAGGAGCTGATGAGCACTGGGCCACTGATCTCCATGGAATGCCTCTGAGGTGGCGGAGCCAGGCACGGCTTGTGGGACATGGTCAGGGAGGTAAATGAGTGACGCTTTTTACTGTTCTTCTTCTCGCCTGCAGCCTTCTGTGGGCCGTTGGCCTGGGGGCCCGAGGCAGAGGAGGATGGCCCCTCACCCGAGTCACCTCCTCCGTCTGGCAACTTGTCCAGCTCAATAAGCTGCCGTGCTGCTGTGTTAAACTGGGGGGAGAAAAGAGAGCGAGAAAGAGAGAGAGAAAAAGAGAGAGAGAGAGAGAGAGAGAGAGAGAGAGAGAGAGAGAGAGAGAGAGAGGTGTTAACTCTGAATGAGGCATTACTGTTACTGAATTCCTTATATTAGCTTATATTATCCTCTCACATAGCTATATTAAAAATACACTGCTCTGCAAACTGACAAAAATCATTCTTTAAGGTCAAATTCACACAAGGAAGTCAAATGTGCTTAATTGTGATTAAATACACAAAATAATGAGATTAAGTTTGATTGCTTACTTATTTTTATTACTTGATAGCCATAATTTTTGCGCTTAAATAGTATATCAAAATGAACAACAACTAAATTTCTAATGACGAGAAAGAGAAAGAATTAAAGTTATTTATACAACTACTACTTTGTGTAAAACCATTCTCAAAATGCAAAAAGAGAAAAGCAGATAAAAGAGTGACTGGATCAGAAGCGAAAGAGGAAGCAGGGGAGTGGGAGGAAAGGGAGAAAGAGAGAATCAGCCTCATATTACTGTCACTCATAAGGAACTCTGCTGAACAATAGAAAGAAAAGAAACAGACAGAGAGAGCTTAGGATTGGAAGAGAAAAAGAATGTGTGAGTAAGAAGGAGAAAGGCTGAGACTGCCTGGTGGTGCTGGTGTACAATAAGACAGAGTGATGAAACCCTTAGCCACGGGGGTTGGAGAGAGGGATGGGAGGGGGGGAGAGGGAGAGAGGGCGGGAGGGAAAGAAAGAGAGAGGGAGAGAGGGAGAGAGAGAGAGAAGGAAAGAGAGAGGGAGAGAGAGAGAGAAAGAAAGAGAGAGAGAGAGAGAGAGAGAGAGAGAGAGAGAGAGAGAGAGAGAGCGAGAGAGAGAGAAGGTGCTACAAGACGTAAACTGGAAGGCAAGATGAAACTGTAGGTGACAGCCACTTTCATGTGAAACAGGAATCAAAGGAATAGGAGTATAAAAGCTTTAGCTAATGACAGAACCTTTTTACTACTACACGCACGCGCACACCCACCCTGAGGCAAACAGCTCTACACCCACACTCAAAAGCAGCCAATCAGAAGGCACACACAAGCAGAACCTTATACTTAGCTGGGTTCACCTGCAGGTCCCAGTGTGATACTAACTCAGTGGAGCTAAACTGGGTCATGCTCAGAGATGTAAAGATACTAGAATGAACTGAAAACTTCAGTGTGTAAGGCACATGTGTGTTACCCCCTATCTGTTCTGTGCCCACCAACACCAACCAACCTTATTTACGTTCATTTTAATTCTATTTTAGCTTTGTATTACATACCTTTGATTCATTCCAACAACACTAGACCTTTTAATTGTTTCCCATATCAAGCATATTTTAAAGAGTGATCAGTTTTACTGTTATATCTTTGTTTTCCAGTGCCTCTATTCGAGAGGTCTTGGCTGCTAGTATTCTTAAAATAAAAAGCAGGGTTGAGCAATTACTGAGATCAACTGTCATAAAGTGCCTTTCTGAACACATCATGAGTACCATCAGTCCCTCCAAAACAACTGCCTGTTTCATTAATAACTAGTTAAGAATGCTGGGAGTCTAACCTTGCCAGTGTTGAAAAACCAGAAGCAGATGAAAGTCATTCAGTTTCAATGAAAGACAGTGAGCAGCAAGGCTACTATTCAAACGATCTGATGTAATGAAGTTGAGCTCAGCATAACTTTATGCAAATGAGTAGCAACACAGGGCAGTGATAACCAGTTAGAAACAAATGTTTTCCTGTCCCATGGAACATGCTATACTGACCTTGGTTCTCATCAAGTGTTGCATTTACATGAAAATGGAGGGTTTTCTGAGACAAATCCAGGTCATCAATGATCAAGAGTTAGCAAAGTGATAAAACTCTTTAGCCTACTAGGCATTTCTGGACAACTGCTGTATAAATGGAAGACAAAATGCTGAGAGGATCAATATTATAAATTAGTTACTTTTTTCTTTTCCACATTAAAATATTTTTCATAGTGGTTGATACTGGCTTCCTTTCCTTTAAAAGAAACAGTGTGCATGATTACACAATCCAATCAAACTTGCTGCCTACTCTTGACTCAGTGACCACTTGAAGACTGCCCATGCAACACAGTGATTTAAGAGAGAATTATTTTATTAGTCTTGTAAAAGGGGCTCTAATAAAACAATAAATCAATCAAAAACAATCATTCAAAAATCATTATACTCATAGTTTTTGATAGCATTTTTAAATGCTGTCCTACTGTTTGCTGGTGCATGATCTCTGTTACAACTTACCATACAAAAATAAATAAATAATAAAAATAAAACAAAAACTTGTGTGTAATGAAGCATCTTGTTGGTATATTTTTGCCATAACGCCCATCCTTACTCCTAAGTAAGATAACTACATTAAACATTGGATACTACACTGGTACACCTCCTAGGTGCACTTTGCAGTTCTACAATTACAGACTGTAGTCCATCTGTTTATTCCACTTTTACCCTGTTCTTCAATGATCAGGACCCCCACAAGACCACCACAGAGCAGGTAGTATTTGGGTGGTGGATAATTCTTAGCACTGCAGTGACACCGACGTGGTGGAAGTGTGTTAGCGTGAGTTGCGCTAGTATGAGTGGATCAGACAGCAGTGCTGCTGGTAAATGAAGCTTAGGAAAAGGACGAGTGTAGAAACAAAGAGGTACGGTTGCTCTGTGTATTGTGTATATTAGTCCAGTCACTATCTATTATATTATTACTTCAGTATTCATTAATTTTCATGTTTTTTTAAAAGGCAGCCCTAATGCATTTACATAGACTGGCTGTAGAGAAGCATGCATACATATGGAGGGCAGCAAGGACAATGTATGATAGCAGCAAAAAGTAGCAGACCAAAATAAAAAGCTATTTTTCTCCTCTCACTCACTCTTCGAAAGGGCTGCGTGTGTCTCTTCTGATGTCAACGGAGACTACAAGCTCAAAAGCGCTCGTTTTTGGAAAATGCCTGCCATCGTGAAAATAGCAATGGCTTTTGCCAGCCCTTTACACCACCCCGTTCCTCTCTCCCTCTTTCTGCACACGTGTACGAGTGTGTGAGAAAAAGAAACGCAATTGAAGACCTGCTCCCGGGTACGCAAGTGCGACAGCAGCTATTTTGGAGTGTTTTGATGGTTATTTTCAGGCTCGGGTTAGAGATGCCGTGATGAGAAGAAAGGCGGGAAGTTATGTGTGTCAGGAATGGAGACTAATGATGCTGTTCAGAGAGTGTGCGGGCCTGTTAGCGCGCAAGAGTGAAAATGAGAGTAAAACAGTGACAAAGACAGCGTGAGTATGGAGGGAACGTGTGTATATCAGGAACATGAGTCTTATCACTGCATCTGTGTAGAGACTAATGATGTAATGAGTGTTGTGAGGAACAGAGAAATAGAATTAGTGCCTAGAAAGGGCTGAGGGAAAGAGTACTGAAGATCTTGTACCGTTACTGTAGAGATGAGTACATGAGTAGAAACAAAATTATTAATAAAGGAACTTACTCAAGAGTAAACCATTAGTTTGTTGAAAAACTAAGTGATATGCTTTCCTGTAAATTTGACTTAGCTACATCATTGTAAATAACTTGTACAAACAAAACTAAACAAGTTATTGAATAAGGAAAAAAGTGAGCAGTATGTTCTGCCAGTGCACAGTATTTACATATCTTGTACTTCTTTCCATGTACTGTACAAGGAGAATCAAACTACATGCACTTCTTAATTGGTTTATATGTTCCAATAGAGTGGAATCTCTTAAAGTATGTGTTACTGTTTAAGTGATTTTTTTGGTTTGGCCTTTTAAAAATTCAGACAAGAAGAAGCTTCTTCAATTAGTAATATAATTTTGAGCGACAGCCCTACTGCCTATTAAGTTAGCTTACATTAGCTAAATAAGCTAGCTAATATGCACATGCAATGAAATATACATATGCAGCAAATTTTAAATGGCTCATAAACAGCCCTCATACTTGTTATTCCAAAACAATAATGTATCAAGAAAAAGATTAGCTAGGATTAGCTAAACAGCTAATTTTTATTGACAAAAAAAATCCAATACACACACACATACATATACACACACATACATTATATATATATACATACATATATATATATATATATATATATATATATATATATATATACATACATACACACATACATACACACATACATACACACACACACACACACACATACACACACATACACACACAATTTCTACTTGCCCAAATACAGTTGATCAGACATGTTTGGTGTTCAAATTTTGCTTCTTTAATTTAGAACTGGAGCAAAACACTGCTAACATCCACATCACTTCCATAAATACAAGCCCAAAACTTCTCTCAACCAGCATCCAGGTGTTAATTTAGGTTACGCAGACGATTCAATGTGGTTTAGAACACAGTGTGACTTCTTATGAACTATAAGAGTAAAAACCTCTGTGCATGGCAGACATTTAGGATAAGGTAATGCTAAATTAGAAAATGTATAAAAATTTAGGCATGTATTTGGGGAAATGGTTTGGGAGACTATCGACTTCTAGTGTTTGTTAGCACAATTAGCCTGGCAGCTCCAGTTCTAAACTTAAGCAGCAAACATGTTGTCGCATCAACAGCAAAAAGAAAATGAACGAAGAGGACGTTGTGCTGGTATCAACATTCTCTCTGTTGCCAATAAACTTGACATAAAGAAATCATGACTGAACCATAGTGTTTTTTTGGGGCTGGGTGCTGATATACTTTGATTGGCTTTCAGAAATGAATCTTTTAATGTAACTAATTGATTGAAGCTGAAACGCTTATTTATTTTTACTCTTTAATAGTTATTAAAAATGACAAGTGAAAATACTGTCACAAAGTGAAAAAGTGCTGTCACAGGGAAAGAATGTACTCAACTACTGTAATGAGAGCAAACATAATTCATTACTTTCCACTTCTGGCTGCTGTATATGGACAACTAAAACTGTGTATATTAATAAGGGAGTTCTGATAATGCGAGCGTGGGGAAAAGTGAATAAGACCATACAAATAAGCATGTTCATTCATGTGCACTTGTTTGTAATGAGAGGAGTAGAAAGCTGTGAAGTCGTATCTCAGCTCCAACAAAAGCCTAACCAGCTGTTCCGTTCAAAGCCACGCCTGAGACCATGCGTCACTTACTAACAAAGTGATGACGATTCTGTAAAAGGCTGACGTGCTTTTCTATTCACAGAGCCATTTTTAGAGTGCTCACTGATTTAAAAGCTTCAAGAGCATCACTGAGACTACAGGGATTTCAAAAAGGGGCTGACTAATTGGATGTGTTCACAGTGACTGAAGCAGATGATGGAGATATGCTTCTGGCTTCTGCCTTTTGAGGAGTAAATTGCACATCTACCAAAAATTCTCTCCAAAATACCAAAAATAGTAGTAAACATGAGGAACATAAAGAATTTAATAAATTACTTACATACTCCCTATATATATTGTGCATACCTGGGCAAAAGACTGGTACACCTTTTCTTAACAATGTGGTAATGCATTAAAAAACATCTCTCACCTCTACATATGATATGGGAAAGATGCCAATTTTATCTCCCAGCATTCCTTCAGCCCAGTTCTGGTCCACTCGCCGAATCACTGTCAGAATGTCATCCTACACAAAATAGGGTAAGAAAGCAAAGAAATGCCTTGTTACTGGGCAGAAATTCATTCAATTCATTAAAACACAGCATGTCTTACTCTGTGAAACATTTAAGCTAGGGTTGGCTGGAATCATTCAAATACTTGTTTGTTACATTGGTATTCTTTTCTCTATTTTGCATTTAGAAGCTTTGTCTACTTTTAAGCCATGAAAACTTTTGGCTAAAACAAGTTTCACCAGAAAAGGATTTTAGATCAATTGTTATATACACAGATAAGGTTGAAAACAAATACATTATAAGTGGTTTAGTCAAAAGCATCATAAATTTGTACTAGAAATCCACATCAACTCAGTTCCCAGTGCAACAAACTGCACTGCATTCCAAGTGGCCACTGAAGTTAAAAGAACAAAAATGTCTCACGAATCTTTAAATTATAAGACCGTTACAAAAACGCTCAGTTGGTATATCTGGAAAAATTTTTTTTTTTCCATTGTAGAGCCCAATAGCTCTTAGAGCCGTACCGTGCCTTTCTGCACTGGTGGACTCTTGAGACCAGATATGGATTCTTTTTCCATCTGCTGTGCTGCTAAATTAGAGCCAGGAAATACTGAAGAAAATAACATAAAAAGTGGCTAACAGTGTAATACCTACACACATACTACAAAACACATGATTCCAGCTGTCACTCCGACACCAGTGTCTCTGCATGCTCTAAGCATGTTCTTTAACCCTTCAACAAGTGTTTTTTTGAGCATCAGTCACTGAAACCGATCCTGTACTGTATTGGGCTGCACCTATAGTCAGCTGACTATGCTAGCTTTAGCAGGGTGCAGCTCAAAGCATCACAGAAGTCGTCTGTTATTTTTGTCTTTGTCACTTCAACACCAGACATTTTTCTTTTCCAATTAAACAGTTTTACAGCAGGTTTACAATTTGGCAGCACGAACAGCCTTTGACAAAGTCACAATCACAAGTTTTTACTGCTGTTTCAGAGAACAGTTTCCTCTACACACCATTAGTACAGCGTAAGAGCTGGTCTTCTGCTACCACACCAACAAGACTAATAAATTATTACATTAAATGTAGTTTACAACACTTTAGAAATTGGAAGTGTGTCATTTGACCAGATGTCTATAGAGTTGACTCCACTCACATGCACAAAAAGATGGCGCTTTAACAAGGGCAAGATGCGCCTCTAGCGCACACAGTGTGGACAGAATTGCTGATTAAAATGGAATTCCATTTTAAGCATGATTCAAAGTAATATGTGGTATTAAGAAATCTTTCAGTGGGACAGAGATTTAACCATTTTCGCTTTGTTGTGTTCCGTGTCTGGGTGCTTCAAAAGCATGCCTAAATATCGAAAACTCAAAGGCCAGTGTGAAGAGTTACAGAGACAAAGGTCTGTCTGTTAGAGGGGAAAAAAGAGGGCAGGACTGTTTTGACTCCAAGTGACCTCAATTTGCTATATAGTGTCAAAGTAGTGCCTGTAGGTATAAGACAGTGAGTATGGTTCTGGAGAGAGTGGAAATGAAGACAATCAAAAAAAGTTAAAAGTTGCAGTTTTTGCCAGTGACAACTCACTATTTTATACTCATAGAAAACAAGTGGAGAAACTATGTTGAAAGTGTGGATTCTAAACTTTCAACCAGTACAACATTTGCGTTTATGAGCTACATTTTATTTGGATTTGTTGATGTTATTGCTGTACAGACAGTCTGCATTGTTTAATCATTGAGAAATAAACAAAGGCATTCAGAGTGTTCTGATGTGAGATGTCTGGTTCAAGAGAAACCTGCTGACTAATGTTCTTTACAGTGGTGGTGTTCGTAACCAAGGGTGCCTAATGCAGCAAATGCAGATATTTTATTAATATCCTATCCAAAACGACCCCTGCATCTTTACATGTGTCTTCTGCATTTCTTATATGTAGTAGTTGTAAATATGGTATAGTAGTGGTAAATATAAAAAAAATGTTTTCTTTGGGTGTAATTTCATCCCAAGATAAAGATGGGACAAGTTCAAGATAAGATTTTTCAGAATTTTCTTTTACACAAGTAACTCGTAATTTAGGAAATACATTTTCTCTTTCAGATTCCTATCTCAAGTTAGGAAATCCTAAACTACTTGATAAGGTTGATAATTAGGTATGTCTGATAAACTGAAAGCTATAAAATATTGTGCCTGTGGCTATTGCTGTTTAACAGGGCATTTCTCCCCAGTTTGTTTTCATTTCCTAAAGCTTAAGTCAGCATTTAAATCATGCAAACACGCATTCAAGTCTGTCTCCTCATTATTCACAATTATTACACAAATATCTTATTTGGCGAGTTTTCAACAACACCAATCTATCTATTTATAATGTTTATATTGTTAACTCCTTACCATTCCCATGTATAATATAAATCAGTACCTCATGTGCAATACTCTATGTGAAATTTGGGTAAAATATTCTTACAGTGTATTTAGTTTATTTAGTTATAAATCCTTTATATTGATAATTACGTGAAGGATAGAGTTTATATTTTTTTATTTTTCACTTTTAGTATTATGGGACTAATAAAGGATTATCTTATCTTAAAACACAAAAGGTTTTTTTTTTTGGGAAGTTTTTCAACTACACAGTTAGGGAAAAAAAAACATTGCTAACACAAGTGACAAACGGTTTTGCAATATGAATAACTGTAACATCATAAGTTATAGTGAGCTTATGCTGCCTGTTACAGTTGCCTATAAACGATATATATATATATATTTTTAACAGAATGCCTAACAGTAAAAACAGAAGGTTAAAAGAGAAGTTAGGACAGTTGGTGGGTTTGTCCTAAACCTAGGATGGTATTAAGGAGATTTTGTTTAGTTAGGATGCTCCTGTAATACTCTTTAGGATAAGATTATAAACTTTTAAGAGCAGCTATTCTGTAATATCTATTATTCAAAATTCAGTCCTAGCTTCTGTAATGCAGCACTATCACAATTGCTGTGAAGAATTCTGACTGTAGGAATTTCTGTAGAACGCCGCATGTCACATCAAACCACTCTTAGTGACTTTTTGTACAACCTAATGATTTAGTTATAAAGAATTTTCATAAAAGCAGTGGAATGTTTCTTTCAAGCCCTAAAAACAACAAACCCAAACATGGTTTTGTTGCTGTTCGGGAAAGTCCAAATGAACCAGTGAATGACTGAACCAGTATCTCCTTTGAAAAGCACAAGGCACATGCGTGTGCATGTTTGTGTCCCAGCATGTGTAGGCGCCTGAGCGTACTCACCTTTGAGAACGGAAGGCAGTCCTTGTCCGCCTCTTTGTCTTTGAGCTCAAAGTCATACAGGGCCTTACACTGCGGAGGTGGCTGGGGCAGCGGCTTGATCACCTGCACAAAGCTGACGGGGAAGAAGCCGTGGATTCCGCCCACCTCGCCATGGTACCAGTTCTCATCAACCTGCCGGCGCAGGATGATGATGTCCCCTTTGCTGAACTTGAGATCACCGGGTTCTTTGCCATCGTAGTTGTATAAGGCCTTGGCACAGGGGAGCTGGGGAACACCCTGTAGGAGACAGTGAAGAGGAGGAGGGAACAGTTAGCTTAGGCCACTTTCTCAGGGATAGCAAGATTCATGGATAATGCAACATCAGCACTCAAAAGCACATTCATTTTTCAAAACATACAGGACAGACCAGGAGCTGCTGTGGAAAACGGGCACATCACACCGGAAATGGAGGGAGAGTGTGACTGTGTGCAGTATATTTTCCAAATATACCATGGTATTAAATGACATCTAAGCTTGCATTAATAAACTTGATGAAGTCATGCACGCATCATCCTATTGTCTGTATAATGACCTTTTTGAAAAGAGTATTATAAATGGGTAATCCCCATTTGAAAAGGGTATTTGGTAAGGTTGCCAGTCTTATGATATCAGTTCAATGCACAGCAGCGTAGCACTACTCGTATTTCAGCTCCTTGACCTCATACTCTACAAAATGTTTGTACAGCAAAATGTATCGGCTTTGGAATATCGTTTGGTTACCATAGGGTTTTTGATTTTTCACTTTCCCCACAGTGAAATCTGCTTAGACTTAAGAGTTCATAAAGTCTATTAAAATGAAAGTATCAATAAACAGAATCGCACAAGAATCAAAATAATTTTTTTTAAAACTAACCCAGGCCTACTCAGGGTTGGATGTGTGTGCATAAAAGACTGATTTTTATGTTCTCTTTATAAACCCTTTAGTGAATGTTTTTCAAACATCAACAAAGGACCTTAATTGAAATCTATTGAAGCAATCAACTCGTCCAAGAAGCAGTGGGAGAAATCTCTTCCTTGCGCTACAACACACATTCGATGCCAGCGCGTCTGCCACACGGACAGTGTTGATTTGTCTGTCTGACTGACTACTCACGTTGGCCTGCCTTTCTGCTGTCTGTACTGCTTTACTCACTGACTAGCCCCTTGTCTGGCAGTCCCAGAATGCCCTGGGGTTTGCCCATGGACCCATAATACTGTGGGGCAAGGCTCATTTATCAGTTTGTGAAGAGCTTTATGGTGCAGGCCCAGTCGTCTGGAACCAGTCAAAGCTCCATTCAGCAGTGACAATGATCCACAGGCAGGGGGAGGGAGGGGGCCATGGATGCAGCACTGCCCGATTCAATGAACCCCTTTCAGGCAGGACGTCCAAGAGAGTCCCCCGCCCCACGCAGCCACAAACCAAACCCCACCACGAGCTTCCTCCTCCACGTTTCACATCCAGAGCTGGGAGCGGAATCACAAACACAACAGAGCACAGACAGTTCTTATCCTTTAGACACGAGTGAAAAAGAGAGAGAAACAGAAAAAGAGTGTGGGGGCAATTGGCATGACAGAAGTGTTTTCGACTAATGAACCACAGACGTGCACAGAGGAGGATCAGCAGACTCTAACTGCTGTTAACATACTGCAGAGAGAGGGAGATATAAAGGAAGAGAAAAAGAGAGAGCAAGCAAGGGACAGGAGACAGGAAGAGAGAGAGATGGAACGGATAGAGAGGAAGACGGAGAGACAAAGATATAAAAAGAAGGACAGATGGAAAGGAGAGAGACAAAGAGAGAAAGGACAGACTGAAAAGAGACAGGAAGAGAAAGAGAGCAAGAGAGTGAGATGGAAAGGAGAGGAAGATAGACAGACAGACAGAGAGAGAGAGATGGAAAGAGAGGGAAAGAGAAAGAGAGTGGGAGGGGGAGAGAGTGACAGGAAATGGATGAAGTGGGAGAGATGAAATGAGAGAGAGGAAGACAGATAAGACGGACGGACGGACGGACGGACAGACAGAGATGGAGAGAGAGTGACAAATAGAGGAAGTGGGAGAGATGACAAGGAGAGAGGAAGACAGAGAAAATAAGTGAGAGCGGGAAGCTAGAGAGTGATGAACAGACAGAAGAAGAGAGAGAGAGCGCAATGGGGATAAGAGCAAGACAGAGGAGGGAGAGAGCAAGAAAAAAGAAGAGAGACAGAGAACAAGAACAAGAGAAATAACAGAAAGACCAGGAGAACCAAAGCCCTTGTAGAACATCACTAGAGCCATGTTCTAAAAATCTTAAAACCAGCCTAACGTGCACCTGACATACTTTAGTCACAGTTAACTAGAACTCAGTGAACAATTTACTGCTAAGAACTGCTCGTCCAGCTGTGAGCACAGCATTCCCACAAATTTACAGACACTGTGCAGCTCTCTGATAACAAACCCCAAGCCCACGGTCCAGCGCCCATCTTCAATCTCTCAGTGTTTCTCATTTTCTTTTCCTCTTTCTCACTCTTCCCTCACTCTATTCCTCCCCCTCTGTGGGCCTCTCACAGAGCCAGCTGTCAGCAGATTTAAAGACCTACCAACTTTTGCCAGAAAGAGCGAAAGGAAGAGAGGGAGAGAGAAAACATGGAGGAATATGGGAAACATCTAATGAAAAAATGAAAAGCAAGGATAGTGTGATTGCATGTGAGCATGTTTTTTTGGGTTGAGCCTCAAGTTCAGACACAACACCAAAATAACAAAACTGAAGCTTCTATGCTGACAAAACACAACTTTATATTTGTCGTATATATTTATCTGGGATCTGACAGCTCAGGTCTAGTTTGGTCAGGTTCGGACGTCATGTCTCAAATATGTATCAGGCTCAGGTTGGGTTCAAATTTCGCATTCAAGTTCTTATTGTTCACCTAACATGTTCCACAGATTTTGGCCCGCATTTTGTCACACGTTAGGTTTACTCTTCACTTTAATCTTCCTCCCTACTTTCATCACCTTAAAAGAGTTTTCACTCTTGCTGAATTTAGTAACAAGGCCCACAGGACATACATTCGTCAGAAAATGGATAAGAGATGAGAAAAAAGTGAATCAATTCAAGAGAGTACAGTTTAGTGCAGCCAAAAGGATGTTTACATTTATTTTTTTTTTTGGCCGAAGACATACTTTGAGTAAAGTGGTCTATTTACAAAATGAGTTTCTCATGCTGTGTTGCGAGAACAGCTTGACAGTTTATCCAGCATTAAAGAACGTCTGGGAATTTGTTCGAAAGCAATGCATGTTGACTGAATTTGCTGAAGTAAAATTCAGCCATAATTTTAGACAGATGATTTAATTCTGCATTATTTTCTAATTTATTTATCCATGTATTACTGTTGATAATTTGGCTCGCTCTATCATTAAAAGTGTAAAGTTTCATAAATCACTTTGGATGATGGGCCGGGTCGGGTCTGTTTTGGACAGAATTTTGTTGCACTCAGGTCAGTTTCAGAGAAAACTTGACGTGGCCCAGGTCGAGTGGGTTTCATCCAAACTTAACAGCAACTAAGTTCTCAGGCTATACTCTGGTTCGGACCAAAATTTCAGGGCCAAGAGTCAGAAGCATTCCTAATTTACATTGTTGAACATCCTGCATGTAAGAATGGTCCACAAAATACTGTTTAAACTGATCTAACTCAACAGTGGTTGCCTCCTAGTGTGTTGAAATTGCTTACATGTTTTTGTTGGATTTTTACTCAGGTTCTCCCCCTTATTTAGTCATCGCCAGTTCCCACACACAGGCTTGGACTCCCCCTATCACACTGTGGGGGAGGAGGTCTTCCTCCTCTCAGTCTTAGACTCCTGACAGCTGAGGTGACGCCAAGAATTAAAGCTATGATCTTGTCTCCTGAACAGGCAGTTAGAGAGCCGTACCAGTCTGAAGCGAATAATAAATTAAAGAAACAATTAAAAGATATCAAAAGTTTACAAACACTACAGAAAACATTTTAAATATTTTTGCTCAAGCCAAATTTATATAACTGAGCATGAGGATGACAAGAAAAATTAATTTAAAATTCAGCAAGTTTGTCACCCCTGAATGTCTTAATTGCCTAATCAAGTGATAATAAGCAATAAGCTAATAACAATAATAATAATAATGATGATATGATAATAATAATAAATTATTTTTATTATTAACAACAACAACAAGAACAACAAAAACAACAACAACAACAACAACACAATTATTATTATTATTATTATTATTATTATTATTATTATTATTATACTACTACTACTACTACTACTATTATTCATAAGCTGAATCCCAGCAAAGTCCCAGCCCTCCAAAGTCAGAAGACTGAGAGGTGGATGCCATCAGCCTACCTCTCTTTTTGGCTAGACAGAGAATATTAAAAACATTCGAGTTGACTTTTCTCTTTTATACAGTGTAAAGAGTCATGATGGTTGAGTCATTCTGTATGGTCTTGTCCAAACTACTTAATTGCAAGGGCAAATAGCCTACTGAAACTTCCTCTCTGCTTTTGCCTGAGTTGTAGTGCATGGCCTCACTAAATATACTGGCAGAGATGACTAGAATGTGGATCCACATGGCTACAAGATCCAGCGAAATCCAGGAACGCAGATAGGAAAGGAAGTCTTCGAATGTTGCCAGGATCTAGTTCAAGCTTCAGCAGATGTAGCAGCATACTGATTCTAAATCAGTCACACTGCCATGGTGTACAGTGTTAGTCTAAGCCAATCCAGCATTGTATTATGAGTAAAATAAGCCCTCAATGCAAGAATGTATTCTGAGGAAAAATTAGAGAACAAACAGAGCACCAAATGCATTCAATCACACCCAGTCTTCTTCATCTGTGTTCAGTCTTTCAGCACCTGTGCTGGTCTGGACTGGACTGGGCTGTGGGAGCCCGGCTGTAAAAAGCGAAAAGGAGGAAGCAGATAACGCGCCGCGACTGGTGCACTCTTGTATTATTAGACCTGCACTAACGCTGAACTCTTTCAGAGCAGCACTATCTCACCGCAGTCTGTCACCGGCTGACAGGTTCAGGTGCCTATTCCAGCACTAATGAGGCCTGGGTAATGAGAAACTAATGAGTTCTCACCCGATCTGAGGAAATGAATCAAAATAAAGGCACCGTCTACGCCTTCACGCACATGCTGAGTAGGCACTGAAGCAATGTAAATGTCAGGAGCCATAAACATTTAGGATCTTAAGAACCACTCAAATTTGCTTCTGTAGAAAAGCTTATGTGCACATACGGCA